CTCAGCCTCCTGAGTAGCTGGGATTACAGGCATGCACCACCATGCTCAGCTAATTTTTTTGTATTTTTAGTAGAGACGGGGTTTCACCATGTTGACCAGGATGGTCTTGATCTCTTGACCTCGTGATCCACCCACCTCGGCCTCCCAAAGTGCTGGGATTACAGGCTTAAGCCACCGCGCCCGGCTGCTTCAGGCTTTTATTTAGTGCATTAGATGGTGAGTTGAAGTAGGAAGCATGTGAATTTTGTTCCCTACTCTTTTCCTAGTACATAGCACAGTGCCTGGCACATACTAGATGCTCAGAAAATATGTGAACTGGTAAAGGTGCATTTTTAATACCAAGATTTTAAAGAAAAGAGCAATATGTTAACTGTGAAATCTCAACAGTTTAGTGATATGGTCATTTCAAAAAAATACATTAAAAATTTTTTTTTAATTTCTGTTGCAGTCATCCTAGTTTAGGCCACTATAATGTCTCACTTGCATGCCTCTTTTTTATTTTATTTTTTTATTTTTTGGAGACAAGGTCTGGCTCTGTGGCACAGGCTGGAGTGCAGTGGCACGGTCTCAGCTCACTGCAACCTTCACCTCCTGGGCTCAAGCAATCCTCTTACCTCAGCCTCCCGAATAGCTGGGACTACAGGCTTCCGCCCCCCTGCCCAGCTAATTTTTGTATTTTTTGTAGAGACAAGGTTTCACCACATTGCCCAGGGTGGTCTCAAACTTCTGGGCTCATGTAACAGAACGGAATAATTCATTGCATGGATTAGATCACATGCCTTGTCCTTTCCTCTGAGGGGCCTGGTCGCTTAGTGAGCGTTTGTAGAGCTCTAGACCCCAGGAGGGCTCTGCCAGCCCCTGGTGGTGCGTGAGGCTCTGAGGAGATGAGTGGAGGCCCTGATTTTCAGGCAGTGGGTTTTCTCCTGGCAAATCCATGTGCTGACTTTGCTGCTTACTCAACCAAAAGCATTTTAAGAAGAAGCTGTTGTTCTGACGAATGGGGGAAGCCATCTTAGATTGTAACTTCTTAGTATTAAAGAGGCTTCTTGTTCAACAGCTGACTTTAAACATTTTGAAATTAAAATGTGCTATGTTCAATACACAGATTACCTACATGGATTATTTCCTTAAGTAAAGCTTCCCAACCCCAACCTCCCACCACTCTGCCCCTCAAAAATAAAAGTACATTCAGAATTGATCATCCTTCTTCAGCTGCTTATTAGCTCACTTGGTCATATTAAGAAAGCATAAGTTGCCGGGCGCGGTGGCTCACGCCTGTAATCCCAGTACTTTGGGAGGCCGAGGCGGGTGGATCACAAGGTCAAGAGATCGAGACCATCCTGGTCAACATGGTGAAACCCCGTCTCTACTAAAAATACAAAAAATCAGCTGGGCATGGTGGCACATGCCTGTAATCCCAGCTACTCAGGAGGCTGAGACAGGAGAATTGCCTGAACCCAGGAGGCGGAGGTTGCGGTGAGCCGAGATCGCGCCATTGCACTCCAGCCTGGGTAACAAAGGTGAAACTCCGTCTCAAAAAAAAAAAAAAAGAAAGCATAAGTAGGCTGGGCGCAGTGACTCACGCCTGTAATCCTAGCACTTTGGGAGGCCGAGGTGGGCGGATCACAGGGTCAAGAGATTGAGACCATCCTGGCCAACATGGTGAAACGCCATCTCTACTAAAAAATACAAAAATTAGCTGGGCATGGTGGCGTGCACCTGTAGTCCCAGCTCCCAGGGAGGCTGAGGCAGGAGAATTGCTTGAACCTAGGAGGTGAAGATTGCAGTGAACCGAGATTGCACCAATGTACCCCTGCCTGGCGACAGAGCAAGACTCTGTCTCAAAAAAAAAAAAAAAAAAAAAAAGCATAATTAAGGACTGGGCATGGTGGCTCATGCCTGTAATGCCAGCACTTTGGGAGGTCAAGGTGGGTGGATCACCTGAGGTTGGGAGATCGAGACCAGCCTGACCAACACGGAGAAACCCTGTCTACAAAAAATAAAAAAAATTTAGCCGGGTATGGTGGCACATACCTGTAATCTCAGCTACTCAAGATGCTGAGGCAGGAGAATCACTTGTACCCAGGAGGCAGAGGTTGCAGTCAGCCATAATCATGTCATTGTACTCCAATCTGGGCAACAGGAGTGAAGCTCCATCTCAAAAAAAAAAAGCAAAAGGAGCCAGGCTCACACCTATAATCCTAGCACTTTGGGAGACTGATGCTGGTGGATTGCCTGAGCTCAGGAGTTTTGAGACCAGCCTGGGCAACTCAGTGATACCCTGTCTCTACTAAAATACAGAAAATTTGCAGAGTGTGGTGGCATGTGCCTGTAATCCCACTTAATCGGGAGGCTGAGACAGGAGAATCTCTTGAACCCTGGAGGCAGAGGTTGCACTGAGCCAAGATTGCACCATTGCACTCCAGCCTGGGCAATAGCGCGAGACTCCATCTCAAAAAAGGAAGAAAGCATAAGTAATCAAGAATCCACAATTATTTCATTGGAGGGTAATTAAAAGCTACTGAGTAGCTTACAGTGTCTGCGAGATTGAGAACCCTGTGAGGATGGACAGGCAGGACTATATTTGCCTGTCATAGCCTTGAATCTGAAGCTTCCTTAAGGTTGATGATGCAGCATTTCCTTTTGCAGAATTCCCAGAAGCAGCCTGTCGATGCTGGTAGGGCCAAAGCATACAACTTCATTTCTTTGGGCTAATGCCCGTGTGGTGGGAATTAAATCCAGAGAAGCCTTGGCCTCCCTGCTTGCCTCAAAAAATTGGCTGAGTTTAAAAACTGGAATCATCAGGTGCAGTGGCTCACACCTGTAATCCCAGCACTTTGGGAGGTTGAGGTGGGTGAATCACAAGGTCAGGAGTTCGAGACCAGCCTGGCCAACATAATGAAACCCCATCTCTACTAAAAATACAAAAAATTAGCCAGGCATGGTGGTGAGAGCCTGTAGTTTCAGTTACTCAGGAGGCTGAGGCAGGAGAATAGCTTGAACCCGGGAGGGGGAGGTTGCAGTGAGCCGAGCACATTGCACTCCAGCCCAGGCAATAGTGCGAGACTCCATCTAAACAAACAAACAAACAAAGTCTTTAATCATCTCTTTTGTTGCTTTCTGCTGAGACTAGACAAGAAGGTTCCATTTATCTGCGACCATTTCATAGAGGCACATGTGCCTTTGCAGCTTTGCCTTGAGAGAAACAGCTCTCTGCATTTCACCCATTTTTCTACTGCAAGGGAATGAGACTGTTAGGTTTTTTTTTTTTCCCTCCCCACCGAGTAGCTAGGATTACAGGCACCTGCCACCATGCCCAGCTAATTTTGTATTTTAAGTAGAGACCATGTTGGCCAGGCTGTTCTGGAATTTCTGACCTCAGGTGATTCACCTGCCTGGACTTCCCAAAGTGCTGGGATTTAAAGGCTGGCTCATGGGCTGACCTTCAAATTGACCAAGAGCTTTGCTTTTGATATTGGACGCTAGGTGGCAGTTTAAGACCTCCTGATGGAATCCATTACATGGGCTCTAACTATGATGTATTATTATTATTCGGTTTATTAAAGAGTAGTTGGTTTTTCATCTCATACCAGTTCCCCTGGTCTTTTATTTTTTTTCTAACGTAAATAATAAATACTGACATTTTCTTTTCTTTTTTTTTTTTTTTTTTTTGAGACAGTGTTTCATTCTTGTTGCCCAGGCTGGGCGATCTTGAGTGCAGTGGCATGATCTTGGGCTCCCACAACCTCCGCCTCCTGGATTTGAGCGATTCTCCTGCCTCACCCTCCCAAGTAGCTGGGATTACAGGCATGGGCCACCACACTGGGCTAATTTTTTATTTTTAGTAGAGACAGGGTTTCTCCATGTTGGGCAGGCTAGTCTTGAACTCCCGACCTCAGGTGATCCACCAGCCTTGGCCTCCCAAAGTACTGGGATTATAGGCATGAGCCACCTCGCCCAGCCCAATGCTGATGGAAGAGTAATTTCATAACAAGTATCAGTTATGATTTGGTTCCAGGCTTTGCAGAAATGATTGTTTACTTTCAGCTGCACAAGTGATGACTAGAGGGGAAAAAAACTGCTGTAAAGGGAAATGTTGACTGTTGCTGGTTGAATATTGAAATTGTACCAGCTTTCAGCTTACTGCACTTAAATACCTTCTGCCAGTTCAAGAAAAAACTTTGTCGTAGCCCAGAAAACGCTGTAGACATAGGATATTGACCTACAGAGCGTGATTACCCTAGCAATCAACTTCAGTAGATGCAACTTTTGGTGTTGCTTTGTCTGCTAAGTATAAATTTTAAAAGCTGATGAGAATGAATAAAGCCATGCATATTAAATGTAAAGCAGATTTTCAAGGTACCTGTCTCAAATTTTTCCTTTTCCCCATTGGTGTACATAGGCTGATGCGGATAGTTTTTATATGGCATGCAATGGCCGCCAGTTCAACTCAATAGAAGATGACGTTTGCCAGTTAGTGTATGTGGAAAGAGCTGAAGTGCTGAAATCTGAAGATGTAAGTGTGAATCATTCCTATATTTGATTAAAATATATTAGATTGGGATAAAAGTGAATGCCAAGGTATCTGTGAAGTACCCAGAATAGACCAGTCCATAGACACAGAAAGCAGATTAATGGTTGTCAGAGCTGTAGGAAGAGACAAATGGGGAGTGCCTGCTAACAGCACAGGCTTTCTTTTGGATATGATGGAAATGTTCTAGAATTAGATTGTGGGGACAGTTGCACAACCTTGTGGATATACTAGAAGTCAATGAACTGTACACTTAAGAGAATTTTATAAAATTTTATCTCATTTTCTAAAGTTGCAAAAAATGTAAAAAGAAAAAAGATACTGTCTGGGTGCAGTGGCTCACACCCATAATCCCAACACTTTTGGAGGCTAAAAGTGGGCAGATCACCTGAGGTCAGGAGTTCAAGACCAGCCTGGCCAACTTGGTGAAACACCGTCTCTGCTAAGAATACAAAATTAGCCAGGCGTGGTAGCGCATCCCTGTAATCCCAGCTGCATGGGAGGCTGAGGCAGGAGAATTGCTTGAACCCGGGAGGTGGAGGTTGCAGTGAGCTCAGATCACGCCATTGCATTCCAGCCTGGACAACGAGCAAAACTCAGTCTCAAAAAAAAAGAAAAAAAGAAAAGAAAAAGTAAAAAGATACTGCATTGTTGTTGAAATTGAGTGTTCATCAATTCTAGATCAATGAAGCATTGATTGCTTGGAACTGAAAATAAATGTTTTTGTTTTCAATATTAACCCTTAATTGTCTTCCTAATTCTTGTTTCTGCCTTTTATTTTTGAGACAGGGTCTCGCTTTGTCACCTAGGCTGGAGTGAAGTGGTGTGATCTTGGCTCACTGCAGCCTTGATCTCTCCGGTTCAAGCATCTTCCAGCCTCAGCCTCCTGAGTAGCTGGGACTACAAGCGTGTACCACCATGCCTGGCTAATTTTTTTGTAGAGACAAGATTACCCCGGCCCGGTGCAGTGGTTCATGCCATATAATCCCAGCACTTCGGGAGGCTGAGGTGACAGATTGCCTGAACACAGGAGTTCAAGACCCAGGCTGGGCAACATAATGAAATCCTATCTCTACAAGAAATGCAAAAATTAGCCGAGTGTGGTGCTGAGCATCTTTTGTCCCACCTACTTGGGCGGCTGAAGTAGGAAAATCACATGAGTCAGGGGAGGTCCAGGCTATAGTGAGCCGTGAATACGCCATTGCACCCTAGCCTGGGCAACAACAGAGACCCTATCTCAAAAAAAAAAAGAAAGAGTCAGTCTCCCTATGTTCCCCAGACTGTTCTTGAACTCCTAAGCTCAAGCAGTCCTCTTACCTTGTCCTCCCAAAATGCTGGGATTATAGGCGTGGGCCATCATGCTTGGCCTCTTGATTCTATTTTTTTGTTTGTTTGTTTTGGGGACACAGTGTCGCCCTGTCACCGAGGCTGAAGTGCAGTGGTGCAGTGGTGCGGTCGTTGCTCATTGCAACCTCCACCTCCTGGGTTCAAGCGATTCTCACACCTCAGCCTTCCTAGTAGCTGGGATCACAGGCGCATGCCCCCATGTTGGGCTAATTTTTATATTTTTATTGGAGACAGGGTTTCACTACATTGGGCAGGCTGCTCTCGAACTCCCTACCTCAAGTGATCCGCCCACCTTGACCTCCCATAGCACTGGGATTACAGGCAAGAGCCACAGTGCTCAGCCTTGATTCTGTTTTGATAGCAATTTGTAATGGCTCTGATCTTCCACTCCCATGGGAACCTTTCCTACATTATGGGCTCACTTGAATCATTTTATCGAGTAGCAGATACAGCTTTGTGATATTTTTATGATCAAGATTTCCTTTTTCTTCCTTTTTTTTTTTTTTTTTTTTTTGAGACGTGAGTCTTACCCTGTTACCCAGGCTGCAGTGCAGTGGCGTGTTTCCAGCTTTCTGTAACCTCTACCTTCTGGGTTCAGGACATGCTTGTGCTTCAGAATCCCAAGTGGCTGGGACTACAGGCATGCACCACCACACCCAGCTAATTTTTGTATTTTTAGTAGAGTCAAGGTTTCGCCATGTTGACCAGGCTGGTCTCAAACTTGTGACCTCAGGTGATCTGCTCATTTTGGCCTCCCGAAGTGTTAGGATTATAGGCGTGACCCACTGCTTCCAGCCAGATTTTCTTTCTTTTAAGGTAGACCTGGGCCAGACGCAATGTTTCATGCTTGTAATCCCAGCATTTTGGGAGGTGAGGCAGGCGGATAACCTGAGATCAGGAGTTTGAGACCAGCCTGGCTAACATGAGGAAACTCATCTCTACTAAATATGCAAAAATTAACCAGGTGTGGTGGCACATGCCTGTGGTCCCAGCTACTTGGGAGGCTGAGGCAGGAGAATTGCTTAAACCTGAGAGACAGAGGTTGCAGTGAGCCGAGATCACACTACTGCACTCGAGCCTGGGCGACAGAGAAAGACTCCATCTAGAAAAACTAAAATAAAAAAATGAAGTAGACATGAAGATCTTTTTACCTTGAGTTCTGAGTGGATTGTTTTAGCATTTGATTAGGTGAAATCAAAAATTTGATAAGTGGGTGGCAGGGGAAAATGGTGGACAGGAAGGCAGGAGAGAAGAAGCCTAAAAAGTTGCATTGAGCTGGAGTCGCCAGAGGACCTGAAGAAGAAGCAGAAAAACCTGTGAAAACTAAGGGTGTTTCTTCCAGTAATGGAGGAGAAAGTTCCAGTCACAGCGCTGAGAAGCCATCAGCTGAAGAAGAAGCTGCAGACCTCCCAACAAAGCCTACAAAGATCTCCAAGTTTGAATTTGCCATAGGTAGTCAGACGGCAATGAAAGCATCAGCCATATCCATCAAACTTGGATCAAGTAAGCCTAAAGAAACTGTTCCAAGCCGGGCGCGGTGGCTCAAGCCTGTAATCCCAGCACTTTGGGAGGCCGAGGCGGGTGGATCACGAGGTCAAGAGATCGAGACCATCCTGGTCAACATGGTGAAACCCCGTCTCTACTAAAAATACAAAAAATTAGCTGGGCATGGTGGTGCGTGCCTGTAATCCCAGCTACTCAGGAGGCTGAGGCAGGAGAATTGCCTGAACCCAGGAGGCGGAGGTTGCAGTGAGCCGAGATCACGCCATTGCACTCCAGCCTGGGTAACGAGCGAAACTCCGTCTCAAAAAAAAAAAAAAAAAAAAAAAGAAACTGTTCCATCTCCTGCTCCAAAACCTTTCAGTAGCAGCAGGTTTTAGTGAAGATGAAGATCGTGAACCAGAGGAAATGCCTTCAGAAGCAAAGATAAAGATGAAAGATATTGGAAGGATACGCCAACATCAGCTGAACTAAACTCCTTCAATAAAGGAAAGCATGGGTTTTCTGATAACCAGAAGCTATGGAGCAAAATATAAAATCTCATCTTAGAAATGTCCATGACCGAGACAGTTAGTTAAACGACGTTTTGAAACTGGGGTGTAGGGTAGGTGTAAGGTTAAAAGGAACAGTTTCCTTTTTTAAAGAATGCTATAAGACTATCTTTGGAGCCGCTTCTTTTTTTTTCCAGTTTTTTCTAAAAGATTGAGTGGTACACTAATAAATGAGTTTGAAATTAGAGGTAATTTATGTTTTACATACAGATTTCAAGACATTTGCTAATTTTGTAGTTTCGTATGAGTTTCCAAAGGTTACAGATAATACTAAAGAAATCAGAAATGGTACTTTTTTAATAATTGTGTATTTTTTTAGACACAACTATTAACACATTAAGAGGGAAGCAAAGCTGGGTGCCATGGCTTACGCCTGTAATCCCAGCACTTTGGAAGGCCGAGGCCAGCAGATCACCTGAGTTCAGGAGTTTGAGACCAGCCTGACCAACATGGAGAAACCCCATCTCTACTAAAAATACAAAAAATAATCTGGGTGTGGTGGCACATGCCTGTAATCCCAGCTACTCCAGAGGCTGAGGCAGGAGAACGTCTCAAAAAAAAAAAAAAAAAAAGTCGGGCGTGGTGTTCATGCCTATAATCTCAGCACTTTGGGAGGCCAAGGTGAACGGATCATGAGGACAGGAGTTCAAGACCAGCCTGGCCAATATAGTGAAACCCCATCTCTACTAAAAATACAAAAATTAGCCAGGCGTAGTGGTGCACGCTTGTAGTCCTAGCTTCTCGGGAGGCTGAGGCAGGAGAATTGCTTGAACCTAGGAGGCAGATGTTACAGTGAGCCAAGATTGTGCCAGTGCACTTCAGCCTGGGCAACAGAGCAGCACTCCTCAAAAAAGACGGAAGCAAAAAGTTATTGTCTATTTAAAACTACAAGCAGTTTCTCTCTTAACTCCCTTATTTACCTAAACTTGTCTGGCTTCCAGTATCAGCCTTATACAAGAGGGAGTATTGTATTGGGAGGAAAATGTTACTGAACTATTAACTGAAAACAATTTTAGATAAAATACAGCTTTCTTCCTTATGGTCATTTGTTTTGTTTCAAGTCATCATAAACTAGGTATTGCATTGCTCAGGGTATACAGATGCTTAGCTCTTAAAATAATTTCTTTTTTTCCGATCGGGCGCAGTGGCTTACACCTGTAATCCGAAGCACTTTGAGAGGCCACGGCGGGTGGATCACAAGGTCAGGAGTTCGAGACCAGCCTGGCCAATATAGTGAAACCCTGTCTCTACTAAAAATACAAAAAAAATTAGCTGGCATGGTGGTACACGCCTGTAATCCCAGCTACCCAGGAGGCTGAGAATCACTTGAACCTAGGTTGCAGTGAGCCAAGATCAGGCCATTGCACTCCAGCCTGGAAACAGAGCGAGACTTCATCTCAAAAAAAAAAAAAAAAAAAAAAAAATTTCAACAGTTTACATAAAAAGAAATATAATTTTTTAAATGTAATTTCCATCAATTCCTTTATAGTCTATTATAGTCATAGACAGAGCTTGAGCTAAAAGTCTGGTCACATTTGAAATTTGGATGTTAAAGTTTTGACAGCAGTCTTTCTTCCTGGAATGTCAGTTCTGTGAGGGCAGAGATCTTTGTTTTGTTCACCACTGTGTTCCCAGTACCTGGCACAGTGCAGGAATATAGAAGGTACTCCATCCTATGTTTCTTGAATGAATGAATACGTGAATGAAAATATTACCAATTTAAATGATTTGCTGAGAGTAATGATACTGAGAATATCCTACTAAGAGTCAAAAAAGCAACTAGAAAACTATTATTAAAAGAAGAAAGACCTGGCACGGTGGCTCATGCCTGTAGATCCAGCTACTGGGGAGCCTGAGGTAGGCAGATCGCTTGAGCCTGGAAGGTCAAGGCTGTAACGAGCCATGATTGCACCACTGGGCTCCAGCCTGGGTGATAAGCAAGACCCTGTCTCCAAAAAAAAAAAAAAAGAAGGAAAAATGAAGTATTGCTGGTAGATGAAGAGTGAGGCTTATGTGAAGTGTTTCCTGTAGGGTGCCAGCCTCCCGGTGATGGACTTGACTGAGCTCCCCAAGTGCACGGTGTGTCTGGAGCGCATGGATGAGTCTGTGAATGGAATCCTCACAACATTATGTAACCACAGCTTCCACAGCCAGTGTCTACAGCGCTGGGACGACACAACGTGAGTGCAAGGGCCAAACCCTACTGTGTATGAGTCCATTGTGACCCTTTCCCGAATTAAAAAGAGCCACCAGCAGAAATGAACCATTCCAAGTATGTGACTTTATAAACCTGACACCATTATAGTCAAGAGGTCCTTTTTCTCCTTTTGTTTCCTGAGTTCATGGAATCGGCATTCTTAGACCAAGTCCTTTTTGGTATGCTGATTCAGAACCCTTGTGGAATTCCCCAAAGCAGCATGAGCTATTCTTTCCTTCCAAGAGCCAGAGAGTGGGGGGAAAAAAAAGAGTAAAGCTTAGTTTGAAGCGCTCATGCTGCAATGAAATCTAGGTCTGAAATCTCATGTATCAGCTGTACTTGGTGTCTGCCATTCACTCTGGCTTTCTTATCAACTAGGCTACAGCAGCGTAATGTTTTAGCTTTGCTGGGCTGTTGATGGCTTGGTGGCGAGTAGAAATAGCAGTTACTAAGTATGAGCCCTACTCTACAGTCTCCTGATTCCCAACATACCAGGTCTTAGTCATAGGTGATGTTGCTACAGACAAAAAAGAGGTGGGGCCTGTACCTATTTTTTACCCCCTAAATCAAGGATGGTTGCTCCCTTTGCAAACTGCACTGTGGGACTTAACCACAAAGGTGTATCAGACCCTGGCCTTCTGGATTTCCCAGTACAGAGGGGAACTCAGAATGAAACCACACAAGTAAATAAGTCACAGCCATAACCAGTGTTACAGAAGAGCAGTGTTCAGCATTGGGACTGAGAACTGGGGCCCTAGTGAAGCCAGGACCGCCTGAGAAGTGGCATTTCCAGGAGGATAATTAGGAGTTAAGCTGGGTAAAGAGCAGAACCAAGAGAAGGCAGTGGGGAACGGGGAAGATCATGTTCCCAAGCACAGAAGTGAGGAGGGGTAAAGTCTGCAGGAATCTCTGTCCACCCACAAGTGGCCCCGTGGCTGGAAGAAGAATGTCAGCTTCACAGAGCAGGGGCTATGCCTGGCTTGCTCTCTGCTGTACCTCTCACACCTTGTAGGGGATGTGGCACAGGAGGAAGTCAGTAGATTCTGGGGAGGACATAAATAAACTGGGTCCCTGCAGATTATCGCTGCCCTGCTTATTTAGCTGGATGAGGGTCTTGCCCCAGTTCCATGGAGTCCTCAGTCAATTCTCAGGTATCATTTGGGAATTTTTCAAGGAGTTGTTCCACTGCCTTGAACAAAGCCACTCTGAGATATGTGCATTCCTTAAAGTGTTTATCTGTGGCCAGTGCGGTGGTTCACGCCTATAATCCCAGCACTTTGGGAGGCCAAGGCGGGCAGATCACCTGAGGTCAGGAGTTCAAGACCAGCCTGGCCAACGTGGTGAAACCCCATCTCTACTAAAAATACAAAGAATTAGCTGGGCACGGTGGCTCACTCCTATAATCCCAGGTACTCTGGAGGCTGAGACAAGAGAATCGCTTTCAACCTGGCAGGCGGAGATTGTAATGAGCCAAGACCGCACCATTGTACTCCAGCTTGGGCAACAGAGTGAAACTCTTTTTTAAAAAAAAAAAAAGTCTTTATCTGTATCTTGGGTCTATCTGCTATACCAGTTAAATTCTAGGCACTTCTCTGTTCCCCGCCACTCCAGTTGTACTTTTTCTTTTGAGACAGGGTCTTGCTCTGTTGCCCAGGCTGGAATGCAGTGATATGATCACAGCTCACTGCTGCCTCAAACTCCTGGGTTCAAGTGATCCTCCTACCTCAGCTGGGACTACTGGTGTGCACCATCACACCCAGCTAATTTATTTTATTTTATTTTTTCATAGAGATCGGGGTCTCACTATGTTGTCCAGGCTGGGCTCAAACTCCTAAGCTCAAGCAGTCTTCCTGCCTTGGCCTTGCAAAGTGCTAGGATTATAGGCATGAGCCACAATACCCAGCCCCAGTATTCCTTTTGATATAAATTAACTGTTATAGAACCATAGCATTTTAAAGTTGGAAGTTTCCTCCAGGACCATCTTGTCCCACCACTTCATTTTATAGAGTAGGAAGATACTGAGGCCCAGAGATGAGAATCTCCTAGCTCAAAGAGTCATGGCCAGAGAATGCCAGAACTGGGACTGGAACTCAGCCCATCATTTGGGGTGTAAGTCATAGCATTTGCCCTCAAAATCATGCAGTTCATTTAGTGAATGGGTTTTGAGCTTTGGTGTATGCATAGAACCATGAGAGATGCTGAGACAGAGGAAGCAAACTCAGCTCTTCCTTGGGATGGTTTGGTCTAAGAGAGTTTACACTTGTATATAAATGGATGTGGTTCAGGGTGGAGATTGGAAGAAACAGCAATAGCATCCCCAACCAGGGGTGCTCAGGAAGGGCTGCAGTAGGAGGCAGTGTTGGTCTTTTTGACACACAGAGATGTCAGAGAAGGCCATTTTGGAAAGATCTCATCAGGAAAATAAGATAAAATTATTTTTTGCAGAGAATGGCAGGAAGAATTTAATAAGCTGTTAATATTAATTATTATTTTTGAGACAGAGTCTCACTCTGTCACCCAGGCTGGAGTACAGTAGCATGATCGCAACTCACTGCAACCTCCACCTCCTGGGTTCAAGCAGTCTTTGTGCCTTAGGCTCCCGAATAGCTGGGTCTACAGGTGCGCACCACTACACCTGGCTAATTTTCTATTTTTGATAGAGATGGGGTTTCACTGTGTTGTCCAGGCTGGTCTCAAACTGCTAACCTCTGGTGTCCACTCATCTTAGCCTCCTGAAGTGCTGGGATTACAGGCATCAGCCTCTGTGCCTGGCTGATAAACTGTTGTTTTTTAGTAGACAGATGAGGTGGTATATCATATATTGCTAGTTGTTTTTATAAGTTTATTTTTGTAGTATTTTTTTTTTCTCAAGATCAGATTTACATTTCGGAAAGATCATTTGACCTTTCCAGTTTGTTGTTGTTGTTGTTTGTTTTGTTTTGTTTTGTTTTTGAGAAGGGCTTCTGCTATATTGGCCAGGGTAGACTTGGCTTCAAGCTGTCCTCCTGCCTCAGCCTCCCAAAGTGCTGGGATTACAGATGTGAGCCACTGCGCTTGGCCTGTTTTCTTATTCAGCTACTTTCACAGCCACCACACAGACTAAAGGGATGAGACAAAGCTAATTTCTACCTCTAGCAAGACTGCATGCTGCTTTCTGGCTATCATTTCTGTTCTTTGTTCAAGTTTGTCTTCTCTCTTCTCTTTTGATGCTACAGGAAGAAGCGGACCGGATCCTTTCACTTTCTCTTACACAGATAGAGCTGGGTCATCTGTGACACACACTTAGTGTTCTTCCTGCTTATTCCCTTTTATTGGTTTTATTTACTCAGTTGGGTAACAAACTCTTACTAGTTATATCTTGAGCATTGTTTCTTCCTGGTGCCAATTCAGTCAGCCTCAGCTATCACTCACTTTCTGCCTACTTGCCCATATAACAAAAATAGTCATGACTAGTATTTAGCATTATTTTGTGTGGAGTATAATAGAAAACAGTAATGGATTTTTTGACATTGTTTTTATTGGCTTTTTGTAAATTGAGACATGAATGCTCGATAGGGCACTGGTATCTTCTACATGATGTTCATGGTACAGTGAGATGTCATGTGCATTTCAGTAAGTACATTAACACCTTTGCATTTAGCCAGGCACGGTGGCTCATGCCTGTAATCCCAGCATTTTGGGAGGCTGAGATGGACAGATCACTTGAAGTCAGGAGTTCAAGACCAGCATGACCAATATGGTGAAACCTTGTGCCCACTAAAAGTACAAAAATTAGCTCGGGATTGTGGTGCATGCCTATAGTCAGCTATTTGGGAGATTGAGCAGGAGAATTGTTTGAACCTGGTTGGCAGAGGCTACAGTAAGCTGAGATTGCACCACTGCACTCTAGCCTGGGCAACAGAGCAAACCTCTTATCTCAAAAAAAACAAAAAAACCTTTGATTTTAGTTTGGTAAAATTTGCTACAGATTTTAAATCCAACTCTTGGGAGCAACCTGGAGAAGACAGGTTACTTTTTGATTGATTTAAATCTTTGGGAAATGGGGATAAGGTAGATTGTTTGGAGTAGAAATAGGTTATAGGTTGGGCGCGGTGGATTACACCTGTAATCCCAGCACTTTGGAAGGCTGAGGCAGGTGGATCACCTGAGAGGTTGGGAATTCGAGACCAGCCTGACCAACATGGAGAAACTCTGTCTCTACTAAAACTACAAAATTAGCCGGGCGTGGTGGTGCATGCCTGTAATCCCAGCTACTTGGGTGGCTGAGGCAAGAGAATCACTTAAACCCAGGAGGTGGAGGCGTGCTGAGCTGAGATCGCACCATTGCACTCCCGCCTGGGCAATAAGAACGAAACTCTGTCTCATAAAAAAGAAAAAAAAACAACATTATGGTCAGACATGAAATGAAGTCCTATTAGTAACCTGTAAATACTTAGTCTTTGATCATCTAAGCTTTAGACAGAAGAGCAGAAAAGGACATGAGGCAGATCCCAATTTCTCCATTCTTCTCTGTTTTATCAAGATTTTGAATATTTTTATTTTGTTTGAGAATAGTACAAAAATGTTAGTCATTTAAGTGATATCCTTAGTTACAATAAACTTAAAAATAGCATATAAGAGGAGGAGGATATAAAGTCCAGTGTTTGACTTTTGGGTTCTGTAACATCTGTCTTTCATATTTAACCTGCACCATTATCTTTTGGTGTCCTGGATAGGTGTCCTGTTTGCCGGTACTGTCAAACGCCCGAGCCAGTAGAAGAAAATAAGTGTTTTGAGTGTGGTGTTCAGGAAGTAAGTAATGGGTGATGGAAAAGAACAAAGAACGCAGCTTTAATTGTTGTGAGTTTTCTTCTACCTGGTATGACTTAAGTTCTTTCTAGTTTTTGTTTCTTTAAGAAACAGGGCTTACTCTGTTGCCCGGGCTAGTCTCAAACTCCTGGTCTTAAGCAGTCCTCCCACCTCAGCCACCCACAGTGCTGGGATTGCAGGTATGAGCCACTGTGCCCAGCCTAAATCCTTTTTGAGACTTGATTTTTCTTTTTCTCTAGGGTCAGGCAAGACATATGAATACACAAATAATGTTACTCCTGAGCTAAATTTATTCCTTTTTCCTTTGTGCTTTTGAAAGGTTTAGACTTTTACTGATAAATTTTGAATTTTTTTCGTGCTGTTCCTATAGTGCTCTTTAGAAATCAGCAAGCAAATGACCCATAAAAGAATCCTTGATTGTTGGATTTTAAACATACATTTAGGTTGCGCATGGTGGCTCACTCTTATAATCCCAGCACTTTGGGAGGCCGAGGCAGGTAGATCATGAGGTCAGGAGTTCGAGACCAGTCTGGCCAACATGGTGAAACGCCATCTCTACTAAAAAATACAAAAATTAGCCAGGCATGGTGGTGTGCACCTGTAATCCCTGCTACTTGGGAAGCTGAGGCAGGATAATTGCTTGAACCCAGGAGGCAGAGCTGAGATCGCACTACTACACTCCAGCCTGGGCAACAGAGCAAGACTGCATCTCAAAACAAAACATAGATTTAATCAGACTCCTATAGAAACAATTCTTTTGTTTTGGTTTGGTTTGGTTTTGCTTTTGCTTTTGTTTTTTTTTTTTTTTTTTTTTGAGACAGGGTGTCATTCTGTTACCCAGGCTGAAGTGCAGTGGCATGGTCATAGTTCACTGTAACCTCAAAAGGGACTGAAGCTTTCCTCCTGTCTCAGCCTCCCAAGTGGCTGGGACCACAGGTGCGTGCCACCACGCACTAGTTTTTTTTTTGTTTGTTTGTTTGTTTGTTTGTTTTTGGTAGAGTTAGGGTCTTGCTATATTGCCCAAGCAAACTCCTAGGCTCAGACGATCCTCCTGCCTCGGCCTTTCAAAATGCTGAGATTATAGGTGTGAGTCACTGTGCCTGACCGACAAGTCTGTCTTCTGTGTTAATCCCCTTCCCACTCTGAGCTGGATCTTTTTTTTTTTTTGAGACAGAGTTTCGCTCTTGTTAACCAGGCTGGAGTGCAATGGCGCGATCTCGGCTCACCACAACATCCGCCTCCTGGGTTCAGGCAATTCTCCTGCCTCAGCCTCCCAAGTAGCTGGGATTACAGGCGCACGCCACCACGCCCAGCTAATTTTTTGTATTTTTAGTAAAGACGGGGTTTCACCATGTTGACCAGGATGGTCTCAATCTCTTGACCTTGTGATCCACCCGCCTCGGCCTCCCAAAGTGCTGGGATTACAGGCGTGAGCCACTGTGCCCGGCCTGGATCATTTATTTTTATTTAACTAATTAAGATCTTAACCTCTTCCGGCAGAACCTTTGGATTTGTTTAATATGTGGCCACATAGGATGTGGACGATATGTAAGTCGACATGCTTATAAGCACTTTGAGGAAACGCAGCACACATATGCCATGCAGCTTACCAACCATCGAGTCTGGGACTATGCTGGAGGTGAACACCGCTCTCATTTTCTAATTTGGACTCATTCTGCATGAAAACTTTGCCTTCGAAATCTCTTCACTTTCCCTCCTAGCTTGAAATGTCATTTGCTGACAGCTGTTGCAAACCCAAATTCTCAGTTTCCCTGAGGGTACTGTTTTCCTAGAAATGGCTTGAATCACACATTATAAAGGGAGTTAATACTTCCACTCTTGCTGTCTCCCTCCACTCTAAAATTCAATGATTTGACAGTTTCAAAGAAATGTTGTAAGGCATTTAATTTAGATCTGAAAAAACAAAAATTTTGTCAGAGTTAAAAGTGTTCAGAGAGAGACCTTTTTCATTCTAAAGAAACACGCTTTCATTGACTCTTTCTTTAGATAACTATGTTCATCGACTGGTTGCAAGTAAAACAGATGGGAAAATAGTACAATATGAATGTGAGGGGGATACTTGCCAGGAAGAGAAAATAGATGCCTTACAGTTAGAGGTAAGAGACTTAATGAGTTGTCACTCAATATCTGTTTCTACTGCTGTTCACTATTCTAATTTGAAACATTTGTCATTTACCTGCATGTAAATTTTTTTTTAAACTTCGATAATGGCCTGACATGGTGGCTCATGCCTGTAATCTGAGTACTTTGGGAGTCCAAGGTGGGTGGATCACGAGGTCAGAAGTTTGAGACCCTAACTGTACATCCCATATACTGTAAAATTAATTTATAGGTTGAGCCTTACTCTAAAAATCTGAAATCTAAAACTCTCCAGAATCTGAAACATTTTGAGCTCGAAGGACAAGCTCATTGGAGCATATCAAATTTTGGATATTTGGATTAGGGATGCTCTCCTGGTAAATAGATAATGCAAATATTCCAAGATTTAAAAAAAACTGAAGTCTGACACACTTCTAGTCCCAAGCATTTTTGATAAGAGACTCAACCTGTAGTGTAAGTTTTATTTTAATGAAATTTACAAGTCATGGTTTTTTTTGTTTTGTTTTGTTTTTTTGATGCGGAGTCTTTCTCTGTCACCCACGTTGGAGTGCAGTGGTGCAATCTTGGTTCATTTCAACCCTCGCCTCCTGGGTTCAAGCAATTTTCCTGCCTCAGCCCCTGAGTAGCTAGGAGTAGAGGCACATGCTACTACACCCGGATAATTTTTTGCATTTTTTTTTTAAGACTATTTTATTTTATTTTATTTTATTTTATTTTATTTTATTTTTTAAAGATGGGGTTTCACCATGATGGCCAGGCTGGTCTTGAACTCCTGACCTCAGGTGATCCACCCACCTCAGCCTCCCAAAGTGCTAGGATTACAGGCGTGAGCCACCGCGCCCCGCTTATTTTTTGCATTTTTAATAGAGACAGGGTTTCATCTTGTTAGCCAGGATGGTCTCAATCTCCTGACCTCATGGTCCATCCGCCTTGGCCTCCCAAAGTGCTGGGATTACAGGCATGAGCTACTGCACCTAGCCATGAGTCACGTTTTATATAAATTTCATATAAATTTCAAAAAAGGTTGTTTTAGAAACATACCTTAACCTTAGGAGGAAATGGACATTTGAAAACTTGCTCATTTCCACACTCTTAAAGGTCTGATAGTAAAATGGCCTAAAATGAGGTTTATATTGTTATCATTAATAAATTATTATATTAATTTTAAAAATCAAACACTTTTAAATTCTCCACATTAAGTATGTACATACATTCTGTTCATACAAGAGATATTGGCCAGGCATGGTGGCTCACGCCTGTAATCCCAGCACTTTGGGAGGCCAAGGTGGGTGGATCACCTGAGGTCAGGAGTTCGAGACCAGCCTGGCCAAGATGGTAAAACCCCATTTCTACTAAAAATATAAACTTGGCCAGGCGTGGTGGCTCATGCCTGTAAATCCCAGCACTTTGGGAGGCCGAGGCGGGCTGAGGTCAGGAGATCAAGACCATCTTGGCCAACATGGTGAAACCGCGTCTCTACTTAAAAAAAAAAAAAAAAAAAAAAAAGAAAG